TAAGGGGGATTTAGGGGGTTGGCTGTGCATTGGAAGTGTCTAAGTAATTATAAAATCTACCATAGTAACTTGCCTTATAATAAAAATGACGATTGATTTTTTGAAACGGAGGAAACCCCCATGAAAGTTGGAATTGGCGCATCGTCCGATGTGCAAGTGGCCGTTGATCGTTGCAGAAAACTTGGCGTCGAATGTGTTTATATGGGTTCCCTTCCCGGATACGAAGAGAACGGATATCCGGATGCGAACCGCCTGCGGGAATTGAAGGAGAGATTGGAAGACAATGGTCTCGAGGTGTCGAGCGTTACCTATCATTTTGCACGGTGGCCTTCACGCCCTTGGCGGACGGTGCGCTCAATGAATCCAGACATCTTGTTGACCCGTGACCGTCGCTGCATTGATGCCATGCTGCGCACACTTGAAGTTTTAGGAGAGGTTGGTATTTCGTCGGTATTGCACTACGTGAGTTTGGGCAAACCGATAAATCCCGCACAAGAAGAAGCGTGCTGGGAGGGTCTCATTGACATCTACCGCGAACTTATCCCGGCGGCAGAAGCAAACGGGGTTAGCATAGCAAATCACAGTCTCCACCGAATCTTACCAGACGACGTGCGTGAGTGGGCAGTCGCAGCAGATGTACGTATTGAGGATTACGGAGATTTTCGGTCAGATGCATGGGGTGGTCCCTTCTTGGTAGGAACTTGGAAGGAATTGCGTCGATTGATCAATGCGGTTCCTAGTCCGTCGAATGGGGTGGCGTTATGTACCGGCATGGATATCCCAGGTGGGGATGTGCCAGCATTGGTAGCAGAGTTTGCAGATAAGATTCACTTCTGCCAACTTCGAGACCATTCGGAGCGATGGCCTGCCGGACGGGAGGTTCCGCTTGGCGAGGGCCGGGTCGATCTCCGCGCTGTTGTCGCTGCCTTGCGGGATGCTGGTTATCAGGGTATTCTGAATCCAGAACACCTAGGTCAACCGAGATATCCGGGTGAGGATTTAGAGGCAAAGGCGGTTGCTTATATCAAATCTCTAATCGCTGCATAAGTATAATTGCTGATTTTCTGAGATGGAGGAAAGCCCCATGATACTAGGAGTTAGCGCGTTGCCCGATGTGCAATCGACCATTGATCGTTGCAAGCAATTAGATACCAAACGCGTTTCTATCAGTTGTCCTTCCCTTCCCGGATTTGAGGAAAACGGGTATCCAGACCCGGCAAATCTTCAGGAAATCAAGGGCAGATTAGAGGACAATGGTCTCGTGGTAAAAGACGCATCTTGGCGGTTGTTGAAGTGGCCTCCGCTGCGCTATCGGACCCACTCACGCGGCGGCGCCACAAGTCCGGAGGTTTTGTTAAGACGTGATCGTCGCGCTATTGATGCAATGACGCGCATGATCGAAGTTGTAGGGGAAGCGGGCATCACATCGGTGTTGCAAATTATTGACATTGCCAAGCCGATAGATGTCGTACAAGCCGAAGCGTGTTGGGAGGGTCTGATTGACATTTATCGCGAACTGATGCCGGTGGCGGAAGCGAACGGCGTTGGTATTGGGAACCACACACTCCATCGGCTTCTACCCGACGGAATTCGTGAGCGGGCGGTTGCAGCCGGTGTCCATCTTGAAGATTACGGAAGTTATACGGCTGACGGATGGGGAGGTCCGTTCTTGGTAGCGACTTCCAATGATTTGCGCCGATTGGTCAATGCGGTCCCCAGCCCATCTAATGGAGTAATGCTGTGTACCGGTATGGATTTTATTGGCGGAGATATGCGAGCGTTGGTGATGGAGTTCGCAGATAAGATTCATTGTTGCGGTTTTCGGGATCACACGAATCTCTGGCCCATGGGGCGGGAAGTTCCCCTCGGCGAAGGACGGGTCGATTTCCCCGCCGTTGTCGCCGCCCTACAGGAGGTCAATTACCAAGGTATTTGGGCACCTGAGCATTTGGGAAAACCGAGATATCCGGGTGAGGATTTGTTTGCTAAGGGCGCTACCTATATCAGATCCATACTAACTTGAGTTTCCCAAATATGATAGTCAAGTGAGTTCAATTGAAACTGGATTCAGTCGTAGCTCAACTTTCTAAGTTAATTTCTTTGTCCAAGAACCGAGATAGAATCTTGAGTTACTGGGAAATTAGGCGATCAATCAGTAGAGGAGCGATAGTATGCAGACACGGAAACTGGCAACGCTACAGGTGCCGACCTATCGGAATGGGCACTTGGAAGACGTTTGATGTCCGCTCAGAGGCGGAGATCGCTGTTCGTAAGGAGATTATCACAGCCTGCCTCTCGGAGGGTGTTTCCTTTCTCGATTCGTCGCCGATGTATGGCGAAAGTGAAACCGTAGTTGGCATAACAACCGAAGGGAAACGGGAGCAGTTTCAGTTTGCGACGAAGGTCTGGTGCAGGGGGTTGTCGCAGGGCAGAGCCGAGATCGCCCGATCTTTTGAACGGTTTCAGACCGACTATATTGATGTCTTTCAAATCCATAATCTCTTGGACTGGGAGATTCACCTACCAACGCTAGAGGGGTTGAAGGCAGAAGGGAAAATCGGCCTCATCGGAATCACACACTATCAGACCGAATCCTATCCTGAGATGATCCGAATCATGAAGGGTGGACGGATCCGCACGATTCAGATCCCCTACAACGTGTTGGAACGGAAGTGTGAACAGGAGATTTTACCGCTTGCCGTGGAACTTGGCATCGGCGTAATTGTGATGCAGCCGCTCGGTGTGGGAAGGTTGGTGACGGGACTCAAAAGAGAGCCAAATCTCTCGCCACTTCAAGCCCATGGAATCGAGACATGGGCACAGGCATTATTGGCGTGGATTCTCGCGGATGCGCGGGTGAGCGTAGTGATTCCGGCGACATCAAAACCGGAACGGATTCAAGAGAACGCTGCGGTAGGTGCATTGCCTGCACTGCCCCAAGAGTTACGAACGTATATTGAGAAGGAAGTGCAACGGTGCCTCTGACCGATTTTTTGCAAAGTATAACTTGACTTTGTATGAAAGGAGTTTCACATGCTGACACAAGCGCAGATCGACTTCTATCAAACCAACGGTTATATCGTCGTTGAAAACGTGATTTCAGCGAAAGATATCGCAGAACTTCGCAAGATTACTGATGAATTTGTTGATAAATCCCGTGAGGTCACTGAACATACCAATGTTTTTGATCTTGAACCCGGACATACGCCAGAAACGCCTCGGCTGCGACGCCTCAAAAATCCGGCAGTCCTGCATCCAATCTATGACCGGATGCTGCGCCACGACTATATTCTCGATAGCGTTGCCCAATTAATCGGGTCAGAATATTCGTTATCAAACCTCCAAACTCAACATGAAATCCGCCGGATTCGGTAGCCCGGTTGAATGGCATCAGGATTTTGCGTTTGGGGGCGATACAACCAACGACGACATGCTGTCGGTCGGTCTAGCGGTTGACGATATGACGCGGGAAAACGGCTGCCTGTTGTTTATTCCAGGTTCCCATAAAGGCCCAATTTATGACCATTACCAGAACGACGTTTTTGTGGGTGCAATTACTGACCCCAATTTCATGCCGGATAACGTCGTTCCCGTTGAGGTTAAAGCTGGCAGTATTACAATCCATCACACCCGTACCTTACACGCTTCCGCGCCTAACCTTAGTGGACAGTCACGCCGTTTGTTCCTACTCCAATACTGTGCGGCTGACGCACTGTCCCCGTTACCCATTACCGACTGGACTGCCTTCGATGCAGCCATCCTGCGTGGCAAACAGGCTCGCGAACCCCGCTATGCCGATACCCCTCCCGTTCCTCGTCCCGATAATCCTCTGCCCGGGCGTGGTGGATCTATCTATGAACAGCAGACATTCTTGATGAGGAAGCGAGTTTCCGAAAATGCGCCTAAGCCTAAGTAGAAAGGTGAATGGAGAGCGGTAGAAAACTATTGGGAGCTTAATGGACATAAACTGGCTAGGGAAGATGTCTTCTGTATTTTGCTTGACACTTCAAGAGAGGATTTGCTATTATTCCCACACATCTTCGTAATAACCTTTGGAGCGGGTAAATGAGGATAAGTTCCTGATTACATCGGTGGTTTGTCACACAATGATCAGGGGATTTGTATTAACACGGGGGGCATTACTTCGATGAAATCTAATTGTGTCCTATTAATAGCTCTTGTGCAGATTGTCGTTTTGATGTATGGAAACATCGGCTTCGCAGGTACGTGGCGCGACGATTTCGAGGACAGAATTACTAGGGAATGGAAAATTTACAATTTAGACCGTCAGGTTGAAAATTGGTGGGTCAATCAGGGTGAGGCAGTCGGACGAATCTTTAAGCGTGGGTTCATGAGCTTGTGGTTGACGGGAAAATTGGACTGGGAGAACTACTCGGTGTCATGTCGGGCAAAATTGGTCAAGGAGCGAAACGATCCTGCATACGTGGGGCTCTCGTTATACGACAGAGGTGATGAGCAAACCCGTTACCTGTTCTTTATCAATTTCTTTTCTGGCACTGTGTCAATCACTAAGGCGGATCCAAATATATGGTCTACACGCGAGTTCCCTTTTGTCTCGGACATTGATACATGGTATCAACTCAGGGCAACCGTCAATGACGCTCAACTTGAGTTTCAGGTCAATAATCAGGTTTTTGTATCGGAAGATTTGCACCAGCCTCTCAAGCCCGGTCAAGCGGGACTCGTGGTCGGTAACGCAGAGGGCCGGTTTGATGATGTCGCAATTACAGGTGTAAATATCAAGAACGGTGGGCCGGGGCGCCCACACGCCGTAGATACGCAGGAGGCACTTACCACAACATGGGGCAGAGTCAAACAGGACAGGTGAACGTAAGTGCTACCTTTGACTCGTTGACGATTCTCGTGTGAATTGGTAGATGAGGGAATGCCTATCAGATTGTACTTGCATGGACTGAGGGATTGTGCTACAATGAGACAGATTTTTTAATGAAGGAGGCTATTGTTTGAGAAACATTGATAATCAACCGTCTGGTTTTACATCTACACAACTCCTCATTGTGATTGTTATTATTGGGATTGTGGTTGCTGTCGTTCTAGCATCAGGCTTACTGGGGCAGGCAGGAAAAGCGGATCAAGCGCAAGCAGCGGAAGAGATTGAAACTATCGGTATCGCACTGGATACCTACGCGAAAGATAATGGGGATTATCCCTCGACTCAACAAGGAGTGGCAGCGCTCTGGGAGAAGCCCGAACAGCCGCCGATTCCCGTCAATTGGCTGGGTCCATATTTGAAGGTTCCTATCACGAAGGATCCGTGGGGAAATACTTATATCTACATCCGTCCCGGTGTCCATGACCGGTACGGTTACGATCTTGTCTCTTTCGGCAGCGATGGACGCGAGGGTGGTGCCGGCGACGCAGAAGATGTCGTTAGTTGGATTCGTCCTGATGAGTAAAGTGTAGAGTGGGAAAATCTAAGGTGCGTTGTTAATTCGTTACTAGCGGGCGATGGAAATTGCGGCTTTCAGATCTAAGGCACCGGTATAGAAAGCTCGACCGACGATTGCACCGTGAACCTCTATTGCTTTGAGGGCTTGAACATCTTGAATTGATGTGATCCCACCAGAGGCGATAACGTTCGCCGACACAGCGTTAGCGATGGCTTCCGTAGTTTCCAAGTTGGGTCCTTGGAGCATACCATCGCTTTTGATGTCTGTATAGATGATGGTTTGAACCCCACAATCTTCCATCTCTCTAGCGAACGCGAGGGCGGGTTTTTCAGAGACATCAAGCCAACCTTCTGTGGCAACCATCCCATCTTTTGCATCAATACCGACAGCGATTCGGGATCCGTGCTTTTTACATGCGGCTTCGACCAACAGCGGATTTTTGAGGGCAGCCGTGCCCAGAATTGCCCTTGTCACACCGAGCCCCAGAACGTCATCTAGCCTTTCCATCGTCCGGATGCCTCCCCCCAATTGGACGGGAATCTGAAGCATTTCGACAATCTCCTTGACGATGCGGAGATTATCGGATACTGCGCTAAACGCACCGTCAAGGTCTACAAGATGGAGGTATTCAGCGCCACCCTGTTGCCACTGCGCTGCCATTTCCACAGGCTGGTCTGAGAAGATTGTTTCCTCTCCTGCTCGTCCCTGCACCAAATTTACACATTTTCCATTTCGGAGATCGATTGCTGGTAAAATTAACACGATTGTTAGAGCTCCCTGTCTTGGAGTGAGATAGTAACCGTTCAGGTAGTATTGATTGTGTGGATTTGAATGATTTGATGAAAGAAAGGAATCGCAGATGCGTCCAGTTATTGGCATCACTTGCAGCTTGACGGCGAGCCCTATCGGTGACTCCATATATACTCTTGAGCGCAACATAATCGCCCGCGATTATGCCGGTGCGATTGAATACGCTGGGGGCACCCCGCTCCTCGTGCCACACGTTGAGGATGTGGAGTGCATCGACCGATACTTGGGAGTGCTCGACGGGCTTGTGCTCTCCGGCGGTGGTGACATTGATCCGTTACTGTTTGGTCAGGAGCCGCATCAAAATATGGGCAGCGTTGACCGTGTGCGCGATGAGATGGAACTGCAGCTTACTCAAAAAGCATTAGACCAGGACCTGCCAATCCTCGCAATTTGTCGTGGGATCCAGATGCTAAATGTCGCGGCAGGCGGCACGATCTACCAAGATATTGCCGCTGAGATGCCGCAGCCAACGTTACGCCACTCCCAAACGGGCGCAGGTTGGTATGCGTCCCATACAATAGACATCCTGTCCGATAGCCGTCTGTTTCAGGTTTTCGGCAGTCCTACTACCCGTGTCAATTCCTTCCACCACCAAGCGGTGCGAGATGTTGCCGAGGGCTTTATTGTAACCGCCAAAGCGAAAGATAACGTTGTCGAGGCTATTGAAAGCCCGACTCACCAATTCGCGCTCGGCGTGCAGTGCCATCCTGAGATGATGTGGGAACGTCATCCGGAAGCCCTGAATCTGTTCACGGCGTTTCTGAAAGCGTGCCAATGACCGGATTGGGATAGCTCGATAGATGTTGATTGGCTATCCATTGAGGGAGTCCGCACAGATTTCTCAGGTTTGTTCAACTGCTGACCTGCCTGTTTTTACTACGCCCAGATCTTGCTTTCACGCTCTTCTACTCGATGATCGTACAGTAATTTTGTCTCCTCCGGGAACGTATCGAAAACGTCCGCCGGGATAGGTGCTGTATTGACGCCGAAGAATTCCAGATTTAGCCACCACGGTGCATAGCGCACCACCACTGCGGCTCGTGGCTTTTCACTGGGACTAGCTGCGTTTGAGTGCCAGATACGGCTATCCATTATCAGTACGCTGCCGGCATCGCCGGTCGCTTGCAATTCGCCCGGAATTGGTGCGAACTCATCGATCCCGTCATTTTCACCCCTCGGATTTTTGAGACTGGCATGCGTACCGGGCACAACCCATGTGCCGCCGTTGCTGGTTGTGAACGGAGTGAGCATCCACAAGGTTGTGATACCGATCACCGCTTGGGAAAGGTTGGCTGACGTGCCACGGTTGTTTGAGGTCGTGTGGGAAGTCCGAGTGGTAGGCGCGGTTCAGTTCTCGTAGTGTGGCGGACGAATCTTGTATTCGGTTTGGGAGATTCGCACTTGCGGTCCCAAGATCGCTTTAACGACATTTAAAAAGCGTTTGTTAGACAGGTGGGGTGCCAGCGCAGGAAAAAAGGCGATGACATTTTTGGACCATCGATCATGTTCTTCGCTAAACTTTTTATACAATGGCTCAGATGTCTCTACCTCTTCGCGCACGGTATCCACTTCATCTGCGGGGATGATATCGTCCATTACGCACCATCCCTCTTGCTCCAATTGCGTGACATACTTATCGGTTGCCCGATCTAATCTCTCCATACGATTCACTCTCCTTTTGAAAGTGGTTGGAAAACTTCAACGATATGTCAAGCGCGGTTCTTCACGCCGCTTCTTTAAGCCGCTGACAATGATTTTTGTTGTTAGGCTCCTTGGCATCCATCCCGATGGGTCGCATCTCCGGTGTGTGGTAGCCAATCCGAACTGATTTTCGCCATTGATCTGTCTGATTGACATTGGACCAGTGAATTGTGCAATAGCTGAAGAAGATAACATCTCCTGCCTTGGCGGGAACCGGCACGGTTTCGACTTTGTCCGGGTGGTACTTCTCAGGCGGTAGATACGGACGGGTATGGTCGCCGGTGATGTGTTCGAGGGGACCATCAGTATGGCTGCCGGGAACAACACACAGACAACCGCTCTCTAAGGGCGCATCGTCGAGGTGGACGAGGCAATCCACAAAGTCGGGGCCATCGTGCGGGTAGAAAGGGTAGTCTTGGTGCATCGGGAAAGGCGTTCCCAATTCCGGTGACTTCCCGTGCAGTACGGTATGATGCCACTGCACACTCGGACCAATCAACGCCTGAAGGCAGCCGACGAGACCTTCGTGAAGGATAACTTTGCTCCAAGCGGCTGAGTAGAAATGTGGATTTGCAATAATGACCGCCTTGGTCTTTTTGCGTTCTGCTTCGGGCAGGTAATGGTCGCGCCACGGCCCACGCCAACCGATGCTCTCCTCACCCCACCAGTCTTCGATAATCAGGTTCATTTCGGAGTTTAACTCTTTAACTTCTTCCTGCGTGAAGAGTCCCTCAACCCTAGGTAGCCGTCTCGTTTATATGCTTCGACTTGCTTTTCGGTCAGCATCTTTTCCCTCCGTTGCTTGCGAAATAGTGGCTATGCTGCGAGTGCTTCCATCTGCTGGGTATACTTGCCGTAACGCGCAGCGCTGTTGCACTTTGCTCGATGGTAAAAGATTTCTGCGCTATGGAAGCATTGGCGGTGTTTCCACCCCACGCCTCAAGCGTTGGTCCCTGTAGTGCCCGTCCGTAAGAGAAGCTAAGTTCCCATGGGACAGTTACCTATGGCATTCATGGCGTTGAGATGTTCTGTTGCTAGTTTAGCACTTTGACCACCGGAAAGGAAGACTATTCCGGGCACCGCTGCCGGAATGGCTCGTCGGAAACAGCGCACGGTTGCCTCGGCTACCTCTTGGACGCCTGCTTGCACCGGGCAATTTGTTCCTGAAAGGACCATACTCGGCTTGAGCAGGGTTCCCTCAAGGATGACTCGGTGTGCATGGAGTTCAAAATAGACCCGTTTCAGCGTTGTTTCTGTTATCTCCTCGCAACGTTCAATAGTATGCGTTCCTTCCATTAGGACCTCCGGCTCAACGATGGGAACGAGTCCAACCTCTTGGCATATCGCTGCGTAACGTGCTAGTGCGTGGGCATTGGCA